CCCCCCCCCCCCCCCCCCCCCAATGTGTACCAAATGTTCAGTCGCGACCCCTTCCCCCCAGCATGTTCATTTCGTGGGATTGTCGTTGTCAGCGCGAGTGCCGTTGCGATTGTTATTTTCCCCTTGACTCTGGAGGAGGAGCGCGCCGCGTTGCGGGCATGGCAGCGTCTGTGAGTAAGGCGGTACCATGACACGATGTGTGTGTTGCACCAGACAAGAAACATTGGTTGAAAGTTAAAAGGTGGCCCAAGAGGCGTTTCGTTTGGAGGGGCTACGCTAGTCTACGCATTTGCATGCATACGTGTCAATGCTGGTGAGTCCAATTGTTTCATGAACTCCTGCTAGATGTGATGGAGGCTGCTGTTCTGCTTGCTATATTTTTGCTCGACCGACGATTGTTTTTTTTGTGTGGCTCCTCTCACCCACCCGTTCGCTCATTCGTCGACGATTCCCCTCTCCGCACATGACGGTTGGATCACATCGTGTCTCGGCTTTGCTGCAGGGACAACTGTTTCGTTTGCTTTTGTGACTGACGTGTGAAGTAATTTGTTCTTGATTGTACTTTCACCACAGGTGGTTAGCGAGGAGGGTGCTGTGTCAGGCATGCTCAACATCGCCAAGTGCCTCTACGACGCCATCCGCAGGCTGGAGAAGAGGGCCCTAAGGGCCGAGGAGGAAGGGGGAGGAGGCTTGTCGGGGGAGAAGCAGGAACTCGCCGCCTCGCTGATGAAGGTTTGTTAACGTGACGCCCCAACACGAGGCAAGGACGGTTTGGTGGAGGTCATCAGTCGTGCGCATGCATGTTGCTGTTGGTGCAAAGCCACAATTGCTCTGGCCCCTCTTATGTTGTTCCTCCTGCTCCCTCCCCCTTGAACGGCATAGTGCACGTTGTTCGGCGCTTTACAGGGACGAGCTACCCACGAAAGTAAGCGTTCCCATTCCAGAGTGAGAGTATCAGTAACCCCCCCAGGACCATCCCGCGCCGAAGAAAACCATCAGCATGTCATTACTTGCCTCCAACACCTCACGAAAGGGGCGACTAGGAGCATGGATGCGTTTTGCCGATGCCCTTCTTGTGGCAGTGGTGTCATGTGGTATCGTTTGGTCACTTTTACCTGCGATTGTGGACCAGCAGCGGTGGTAATGGGTTTAACGAGTACTGTAGACTCTGTAGACTCTGTAGACTCTGTAGATTTGACTTGGCTTCATGGCAGTTGTGTCGGCGTGAATATGCGTGAGAATCGGGCATTTTTTTCCCGCTTGTGGCTCGTTCGGCGGGGTGTGCGTCATGAATCCACCGCTGTATTTCTCATGTGGTCATGTAGTTGCTGTTGGCGCTAGCATGTGTGCGGCGTGAGGATGCCGTCGATGACGATGATGGATGCTTGTCTACCACGGTTATTTCCATGGTTGTATCAGACGTGATCGGGTTTCGTTGGTAGCACTCTGTCGTTTCGATTGCCATGGCTTTCACCATGGTTGTGTCAGATGTTTTTGACTTTCATTTGTAGTGATGATGATTACCATGGTGAAACGGGATGTTTTCCGGTTTTGGTTGTATTTTCGACGGTGTTTGGCGTTGCCCGGACAGATGCACAGCATGAAGGGAGCCAAGAAGAATGGCAAGGACACCTTGGCGGCAATGACGATGCTGCTGCAGGGGCTATCGGACGGAGAAGAGGCGAGTGTAGGGCAGCAGTGTTCCCCGTGTATGGCCGCCTGGTGCGGCGGGATTGGGCCGCCCTTGACCGGGGCACCCGGCGCTATTCAGAGTATGAGACGTGTTGAGTATTCCATCTGATGTGTCTCGCGATTTCACCGTCCTTCTACTGGGCGACCGGCCAGAGTTAGGCGGCGTTATTCGGTACCAATGTATTTATGTAGTTATGCAGTATTATGTTCCTAAAAATTAGTTGGAGCGTGTGTAGGAATTGGACCTAGGACGAGATGACGATAACCAACGCGCTTAACGTCAAGAGCATGGCTTGTCTGGTCGTGACTTGCGATCGTGCTCCACGATGTGTCGATTTGGTCCTAACTCACACGAGAAAAGATGGTCCAGCACTGGTATATCTACGTGAAAAAAGATGGAGCAGCAGACGATTTACCTGATGAACGCCCCTGATTAACGGGCATTCTTGCTAGCATGAGATGCACGAACCGATATGTCAAGGCATCGCGCGCCAGCAGCAGCGTGTGTGATGATATACGTTGTCTGAGTAGATGGTGTTTGTGCTCGTCTTGTTGGATCAGGACCCCACGCTGGAAGACATCCTGTCGGAGCAAACGGGAGAGTTCGCAGAGGAGGGGGACAGCGCGGCTGCTTGCGGGAAGGCCATCTCCAGGAGCAAGAAGGCGGTAAGTGTACCCCGCTATTCTTTGTGTCCTAAGAGATCGTATGCATAGCGAGGTCGAAGATGTCGTTCTTGCAAAACGACGCCCCTTTATCACCGTGGATAGCGTGGTGACTAGGTGGTGGTGGCCATTCCAGGAGGCTGTGGGTAAAAGCAAGGGGCACTCCCAGTGGAAACCAAGGAACACCCCCTGGCCACGCTCCAATGTTGGTCGTGAAGCGGGGGGTTATTTTGTAGGATTTTGAGTAGTATACTTGAAACATATATATATATTCTTAGTGATGTGGGATTAGTGTTTGTAAACCTATACGCGCTTTGTTGTACTGGATTTAGAATAGCAATACTCGAACGTATACTCCCAGGTATTAGACGGGTTCTAGAATGTGCCATAACTTCTGCCATTTTTAATATGGATATTTTTGCCGACTGTAGGCACGCGATTACTTTTTTTGGTTGTTACACGTCTCGCTTGCGCTCATCCATGGGACCCTTCTGCTCCTTCTCGGTTGTTTTTGCCTCTCTCTGCGGTTGCGATTGTCTGCGTGCCAGGTGCTGGTGTTGCGCAATGGCCGACTTGCCGGCATCGTCACACCCAAGGACCTGCTGATGCGGGTTGTGGCTAAGGGCCTAGACCCCGACGCTACTCCGGTGTCCGCCGTGATGACACCTAACCCCGATGCGGTCCCGCCAGCGATGACGGTTATCGAGGCTCTCAGAGAGGTGGGTGGGCGCCAGTGATACAAATCTGGGCAAGAGTGTCATTTCTTGTTGTCCTGTGTACTCTTCACTTCACTTCAAATCAACAACGCTCACCCGTGGTCACACGGAAGGGCTCCTGCGCTGTTTTGCCTTCGATTGTTCGTGTACACACGAACTAGCGTTTTCCACCCAGGCTAGGAATACACGCGTAAGATTTTGTAGCAATCTTTTTTGGTTCGGTGTGGTCCATTGAGTTTTTCGAGTCTTGAACGCATTAGTTGTGTGGGCTGTTCGACCTTGGACAGCGTCACAACCGGCAGTCAGCTTTTAGAGCTTTCGTGTTTCATGCAACGTCACTCTTGACGCCACTTCTATCCTTCTATCCTCTCATGACCGCACTCCGTCCGGAGCGCACCCCTGTGGAGTAATACGTTTGTTGAGACTTTCTATAATAGTATCTGTTTTGTAGCTCTTTTGCTCGTTCGTCCAATATGCTGTTGGGGTGTCTGGCTGTACCATTGTTGTTACTTCCAACGCGTCTTGCATTGTGTTGCAGCAGAGCCTCATGTGGACAGCCGAGTGGCCAGACCTTCTTTGTCGAAAACTGGTATGATTTTGGGCTGTGATTCACTCTGGGCAGCACTCGCAGTCGTACTTCTTCGGTACATGTAGCGCACGCATCTTGCCGTCTTTCAAGACCCTTAGTCCGTTAGTCCAGTTCATTTGGAATACACTCAACCACTCATTGCGTTGTATTCAGTGCCATGTGTCCAGTACATTGGAACCGTGTTCAGCATGTTAATAGGTACGGAAGCCTAGGCTTTTATCTTTCCCAAAATAGACCCTAGACAGAATTTGTGCAGATGGGCAACGGGTGGAAAATGTGTGGACGTGCTTGTCCCAAAATAGACCCTAGACAGAATTTGTGCAGATGGGCAACGGGTGGAAAATGTGTGGACGTGCTTGTCCGATGGAAGGGTTGCGAGCTAAACGCCCAGGATCATCTTTGCTCCTACCCGAGCGATTTACGGAGGCGTTGGCGCTTGCTGCGAATCGTTCTGTGGGGTATGGGTTGTGTTCTTTTGATGGGATCGACCGCGTTAACCAATCGTATCACGTCAGTCTCAGGGTGTGCGTGGTTCATTTTTTTTTTCCCTCAGATGCACGAGAACAAATACCTGCACCTGCCGGTGGTGAACGAAGACAGCGGTAAGGTGTTGGGGGTGGTGAGCGTCATGGAGATCATCCACGCCACGGCGGGCGAGAAGGGGAGCGACAGGCGAGCTACACCTATACATACCTTTACCCGCAAAATCTGGTCCAACTCTCAGTACACGTCGTTGCAAAATCGATGCCCCATTCCGTTCCGAGTGCAAAAGCTAATGTAGGCTGGCAACTATCAGGAACACGATTTGCGGGCTGGGGTCTTGCCCAAGTGTGTTACATGATCTCTTTTTTTTTCATGTGTGACGCCACAGCTGTTCCGGGTGTCGAGCTTTTTCGGTATCATTTCGCGTTGCGAACTGATGCTGGCTGGCTGCTGTCGTCCTTGGCTCTCTTGTAATTTCTTTGCTTTCACTCCGTTTTGTCCCCCTCGACCTTTTGAGCGAAAAAGTCCGTCACATTTATGGTATCGCCCTGATATGCAATTTTAGTACTTTGCGGTGGGACCTGCAAGTGCTACAGCAAAAAGGGTCACGTTGGCTGAATCGACGTTTCTTGTTTTTTTTGTGCTGAGATATGTATATTTTACTTTACCACTGTACGTTGCGTTTCATTCACGTTCCGTTTCGCTTTTGCGCGACGCGTGCGGCGGGTTTCCAGATGGGAGGCATTCTTCGGGGACGCGATGGACGCCGCCGATGACGTGTCCGACTCGGCCTCCATGTTCAGCGCGGAAGAGAAGATGAGCATGAGATCCGCCAAGCCTGGTGCCAAGCCGGGGGCGCCCGCACCACCGAGAAGCACCAAGAAGGTGTCGTGCTTGAAGCCGAAACGACCAGTCATCATGTCTTCCGATGGGTGAGAGAAACTGGAAAAAAGCGAGGAGAAACAAGAGACGAAAATCGCGCTATTGATGGGTACACAGATTTTTAACCAGCATGCAGCCAAGCAAAGAATATCGTGTACATTATAGGTACTGAAGTATTTGATAGTATACCGGCCTGCAGCCAATCGAAGAGTATGGGTCATGATAACATTGCTTGCTTGAATGCTGGAGTTGGTACGTCGAGTGATCGTGTTGAGCAAGTCGTCCTGGCGAGGGCGTGGTGGGACGGAGTGCTCCCCACGACGTCGCGATGCATACATGTAGGCAACCGGCCACATGCGTGTTGGACAAGTCCTCACAGTAGCTTGGCTAGCGTTAATTGCCGCATTTGTGCGAATCATGTGCTCCGCTTGTTGTGACCCTGTTGTTCCGTCCTATACTATATACTATGTACTATATACTATATACTATGTACTATATACTATGTGTTGTTGTGTTGTTGTGTTGTTGGGTTGTGTGTAAGGTCTGTCCTGGAAGTGGCTACGGAGATGTCCCTCAAGCGAACGGACGCCGCCCTGCTCACCAAGCGCGGCCGTGTGGTGGGCATCGTCACAGATCACGACTTTACCAGGTGAGAGTTGTGCTGCTGGTGATGGCACGGGGGGTAAGATGCTGTGAAAATGTCTTTTGTTGAGCACGCTCCACAGAGTTGTAGATAACCTTTCTTTGTCGAAGCGTGCGGTAGTGGTGTTAAAAGCTCAATCGCCGCCGTGTCTCGAGGTGGAGTATGAAAGCGGTTCATGCGAGGCAGGGGTAGTCCAATGGGACGCTCGATAAGGCGAGGGCTTCGCTTGTTGGGGCTATTAGTACGGCTTGGCGTGATGTATTTCTCTGCCTGCGTCCGTCCCGTGTGAGCGGGGATGTTGCGGTGTCGACATTGGAAGTCTTTCTAAAACCTCTTTTTCGAGCGTCTCATTCTGCCTGCTCATCAACACATGTGTTTCTACTACTGCTGTGTTGTATCTCAAACGGTAGTCTCTGTGATTGTACGTATTTTTACTGATAAAGGCCAGAACTTGCGTGGCTGCCAACAGCTATTCCCATAACAAGTTATTTGCAAACGGCACGTCTCGACGGATTCGTGAATCAGGCGCGTGATCGCCTTCGACATGCCCCCGGACCGAACGCCTGTGCGAGACATCATGACGGCTGAACCCGCCATGGTCTCGATGGACGAGAGCGCCATGGAAGCCCTGGGGCTCATGATCCAGAACAAGACCAGACACCTACCGGTGAGATGTGACGTCATTTCATTTCGAGACATCGTTTGTCATTTCCTGCCCAGCTTTTTGAGTGTACTTGATGCGAAATCCCGATGGGAGACTGAGGGATCAGCACCCTCCAGTGCTTGAGATAGCCAGCCCTTGTTCACGCCGTTTTTTTTTCACGCAGTCGAGCAGTATCATTGCGGCTAGCTGGCCGTCGCCGTTGCCGATGGACGGGTATTGGTGGAGTGGGAACATGAGCGTCGCAAGGAAGCTCTAGGTTAAGCGTTCCGACCCCACTGCCGTCGTCCACCCGTGCGTGGTGTCATCGTGGCGTAAACATTACAATGGCCATGCCGGGTAGTCGGCAAGTCGTTCCAGGCCGAGATGATCTTATGTGTCCATTTTCTGCTAGTGCAGGTGGTGCATATGGCAAAACGTGTCGAAATTGATGCCCCCCGCAATCCTATGGTTGGCGATGTCTAAGCTCCGTGCTTGTTGGTACATCACAACCCGCCCCTCCCCAACCTTTCCACGTTTGACCCTCCGTCTCCCTGACCACCGAATGCCTTTGCGACATGCCTCTCCCCCACCAGGTGATGGACGCACAAGGAAAGATAGGCGGTCTTCTGGACATCGCAAGGTGCCTGTACGACGCCGTTGGCCGGCTCGAACATGCCGTCAAGAAGAAGGCATTGGAGGAGGGTGATGGGGAGGGCGAGGTTGGCAGCGGCAGCACCGTCATGATCGGGGCGGTGATGGAGGCGGCGAAGGCCATGAAAGGAAAGGCCTCAGCGAAAAACCAGCAAGCGCTGCAAGTGAGAGTAGTAGCTGAAACCGTCGAGGTTTTCCACTCCGACGAATGGCGTGTTTTCCGGCGGCCTTCTTTTTTCACCCTTTCCTGCTCGTTCCACACGCGAAAGCGGATTGCCACCAAAAACGGTCGCAGTAGTCCACTCCATCTGAAACCTGGTGTATTCATGGTGACGGGCATTTTCCGGGAAACCCACGGAACGGAGACGGAAGCATTGTTCACGGCGTCTCCTCCCCCCCCCCCCCCCCCCCCCCCCCCCCCCCCCCCCCCCCCCCCCCCCCCCCC